TAAGATATGAAGAAACTGGCCCCAGGTCTTCTGACTCAGTCTGATGCTCTTTATACTACCCATACTGGCTTTCACTACTTTCCCATGTGCCCCAGAACAAAGATCCTATAACTGAGAACTATATCAGACAATATAAACAATACTGGTACATAGTTTAGCATAGCATTCTAAGTCTTTATGACCAATTTTCTCATTTCCATCTACTGCTAAATCCATACATTTTTGTTTCCTCAACTGATTATACAATGATAATAAGGTCAATCCCAAATTAGTCCTAAAAATACCATTTCACCTGGCACTTCCCTACAAGCACTGTCTTTGGATTTAACTGGCCAAGCAAGCATCAACCTTTAAGGGATATTTCTATGTGATTGTGGATTGGACAGACTGTTATCCAGCAGTGGGAAAGGAAAAAGGAAGAGAACCTAGATTTTTTCTACCAAACATCCCTTAAGGAAGTTTATAAAACTGTAGCTGGAGAGGAAAAGGATATGGAAGCTCTTCCTGTCCCACTATACTATTTTAAGAAAGAAACTTTAATGTTTCAAGTAATCTGAGTCCCATAAACTAAGTGGGAGAGAAGGAAAACAGGCATATTTCAATCACACTGAAATTTTGCCTAAGGTGGCTCAATCTCTCACCGAAAATCATGCTCTGTGCACAAATTTAAAGCTAGAGAATGCACTAAAATGCTGAATCCATTAAAGAGAACTATGGTCATGAATCAGCTCATCTCTATCCCAGAAGGATCAGTATACTGTAATCATGTATCTCTAGTGCAGAAGTTCTTAACCTGGAATCCATGCATGCCCAAGAAGTCCGTGGATAGAATTCAGGGGGTCCATTAATTTGGATGGGAAAAAATAATTATATCTTTATTTTCACAAACTTCTAACTAAAATTTAGCTTTCCCTTAGATTACAAATGTAAGCAACAAATCACAACAGTATTAATACCTGTGATTTCATCACTAACAAAAATCACAGGTGTTTTCATATCATACTGTGCTTATGACAAACATTTCAAAATGTCACTTACATTCCTGACTATATCAAAATTATATTCACTGGCCAGGTGAGGTGGCTCACATCTGTAATCCCAGCATTTTGGGAGGCCAAGGCGGGTGGATCAGCTGAGGCCAGGAGTTCAAGACCAGCCTGGCCAACATGGTGAAACCCTGCCTCTACTAAAAATACAAAAAACTAGCCAGGTGTAGTGACAGGCACCTATAATCCCAGCTACGTCGGTGGGTGAGGCAGGAGAATTGCTTGAATCTAGGAGGTAGAGGTTGCAGTAAGCCAAAATCGTGCTCCAGCTTGGGTGACAGAGACTCTGACTGAAAGAAATAATTATTATATATATTATATCTGCTTCTAAATCTTAGTATTTATTGTGTTAATAACAAAAGCACATATATCACAAACTAGTTCACTATTTTGGTAGCCGTATTTTAATATGTTTCCTTTGTAATCCTATACGTTTTATTTCATACATTTAAAAACATGATTCTGAGAAGGAGTTACCAGTGTGAGAAGACTTTTACCAGTCTACCAAATGGTTCACAGTATAAAATGGTCAAACACCCCTACAGGGCTTCCTTTTATCTCTGAGCTCCTAACTGAGAAATGAAAGTTGAGTATAATTAGAATTTTTAGCTTTAAAATATAGTCCAAATGACCACAAAATTAAATGTTGCTGCTTAATGAAAAATCCTTCTATATGGCAAATTTCTCCCCATGTCTTGAAAACTTTAGTATGGCTATATGTAACTATTAAAGATACTAGTTATCTCTTGATTCAGCTTACCTCTTTCATAGTATAAGTGTCTTTTTGTGCACCAACAGACTTTAATAACTTCAAAAGCAATGGCTTTGGTCTAACCTATAAAGAGAAAAGAGCTATTATACTTCCAAAATTATTCCAGAACTATAGAACCTGCAACAAACATACCATCAAGTTCAATAAAGGGGGTTTGGAAAAATGCTGGGGAGAATCTAATTATTATGCAAATATGGAATCATCAAGTATCAAGACAGCAAAGATTATTTTTTCCTTCAGCTATTTATACCACCTGCTTACTGCCTTACAAACAACCATAATTATTGAGATCGAATGAGCTTACTGTACTGATCCAATGAGCTTACTGCAAGCTAACTTAGAGAATCCAAGAGAAAAGAAAAAATATTTAGAGTGGATCCTGTTACCAAACATCTCTTTCTAAAGATTAGGTTCCTGAAGGTTAGAGAACTTAACCAACCCAAGCTGACAAGGGTAATTAAGAAGAGATCAGGCTGGTGCCTCACCCCTGTAATCCCAGCACTTTGGGCGGATGAGGTGGGCAGATTATGAGGTCAGGAGATGGAGACCATCCTGGCTAATAAGGTAAAATCCCGTCTCTACTAAAAATACAAAAAAAAAATTAGACGGGCATGGTGGTAGCATGTGCCTGTAGTCCCAGCTACCCGGGAGGCTGAGGCAGGAGAATCAGTTAAACCCAGGAGGTGGAGGTTGCAGTGAGCCGAGATCACACCACTATACTCCAGCCTGGGTGACAGTGAGACTACTACAACTCAGCATTTTCTTCCTACTATATCATGCTGCCTCTTAGTTGGTCTGCATTTCAAATATCTGCTTGACAAACATTTATTGAGCTTCTACTATGCACTGGACAGTGATAGGTACTGCCAAAAAAAAAAAAAATTACAAATAAGACATATGACCTGTATTCAAGGAGCCTGCCAACTAGATCAGGGTCAATTTTTTCCTGTAAAGAGCCAGACTGTAAATATTTTCATCCTTTCATACAGATTGTGTATCCACCTCCCGGGTTAAAGCGACTTTGCCTCAGCCTCCCCAGCAGCTGAGATTACAGGTAAGTGCCACCATGCCCAACTAATTTTTGTATTTTTAGTAGAGATGGGGTTTCACCATGTTGCCCAGACTAGTCTTCAACTCCTGATCTCAGGTGAGCCCACCATGGCCTCCCAAAGTACTGAGATTACAGCATGAGTCACCTCACCCAGCCTATAATTCCATAAAATCTTTCTTATAGAGTCACATGGAACTCATGTACAAACCAACAGTATTTGTAATACCCAAAAACAGGAGGCAATTTTTAAAAACCTATCAGTAAAGGCATAATTTTTAAAATAGTATACTCATGCTATGGAATACTATGCAGCCATTTTAAAGAATTACATAAACTGTATTGACAAGGATGTAAGTCATAAAACACCTATAGTTTTATCTTGTTAGTACAACAAACATGACAATAACAGATTTAAATTCAAATGTAAATATATGTGCATATGCACATAGAAAAAATCTAAAAGGGAACATGAAGCAAAAAGGCTGGAATTTTCAGGTTTTACTTTAAAATTTCTCTAATTACTAAAATCTTTACAACAAGCATGAATAATTTTTGTGACTTTTAGAAACCATTTTTAAAAATTAACTACTGGGAAATCAAAAAGGAAAAAAATGGATCACATAACAAATATAACTTCAGCAACCACACTTAAGAATGTAATGGAACTAATTTTTAAAGCCCATGTGGCAAAGGGCTAATAAAATACTGAACCAATTGTTAACAGTTTTTAACTCCACGCAATTATGTCCGAGGTAGTACACTTTAAGCTATGCACATACAATTTCATTTACAGAGCCAAGCTGCAATTGAGGTATATGAAATTTAGTTGATCACCTCATAAATTATTCTTAAAGTTACACCAGACAAAAATACCAACCAGGGTTTCTTGTTCCGAAGCTGGAATCTGTGAGGTGGTTACCGCACCATCAGTAGGTACAGACATGTTGGTATTGCACATTTGCCTACAAGGAGGAAAAAAAAAGACACGATGAAAACTGGAAATCATGAAATATCTGTGAAAAATACATCATATATAAAGGACATAAACGCCTTTGTTAAAACTAAAGCAACAAGGAAGTCGGTGCTTACCTGGATCGGTAGAGAAAAAGCAGTGTGCGTCCGTGCCCACAGGTCCACCCTCCAATAGCCACTGAACACAGCTGGGACAATCCATGGTTTAAATAGCCCCAGCTGGAGACAAGTCAGGGCTTAGCTCCTTTTACAGCAGTTTCGGAACGTGTCTGAACTTGACCAGCTCAAGAGGAAAAGCTGAGTCAACCTGCCCACGGAACCGGCCCAATCCCGCCCAGACTCCGCGCCACGTTCAAACTGGCGACCGGACAGGCACCTGCGATCATCCGGACCCCCGCGCTGAGGTGGCCCCGCAGTCCCCCGCCCACGTGACCTTTACCCCGGACTCTCGTGGAGACCCCCCCCCCCGAACCCGCCCCCCAGCCGCGAGAGCCGGCCGAAACCCCGCCCTCCTCCCCGGCGGCGACAGCCTCGTCTCAGTCCAACAAAACCTCCGCAAAGCCACGTGCCCCGTGCCCCGTGCCCCGAGCCCCAAGCCCCCCGCCACGAATGGCACAAAGGCTGCGATAGGGCAGAGTCTGGGAACCAGCAATGGTGGGAAAACCGTCACAGCCCAGACCCAGAAGTGACCGCTCGCTGCCGGGCCGGTACCTGCTTCACACCATTCGGGGTTTTCGCGGTTAGAGTCGGGGGTCCCTCGAGGGTCCCCAATTTCCTTCACGGGGCGCGCGGAAGCACGACGCCCTGGGCCTCGGGGACCATTCCACTCTCGGGGCCCAGGCACTGGGCGCTCCAACGCACTAGTCCTAGGAGGGACGGGTGTCCTGGCGGCGAAAGCAGCAGGATCTCGGTCAGAGGGGTCGGGGCCGCCCCTCGGGCTCGGCTTCTTGCTCCATCTTCCCAACACACAGGGCCGCACAGGCCCCACAAGCAGCCAAGCTCACCGCGGTGACTCGGTGCGCGCCCCCTACCGCCCGAGGGAAGCGCGCCGGGCGTCGCGGGGCATCCGGGCATTTGTGCGCGTGCACGCGCCCGGCCCCGCCTCCTCCAATTGGGTCCTGGGCTCAGCCGCACCGCCTCCGGGAGGGTGGAGCGAGGAATATCGCCCCCCACGCGGGGCGCGGCGGGCTTTGAAGTGGGGCAGGGGTCTTGGCCGCAACCCAGGCGGGTGGGACTCGGCCCTACGCGATTCCCGCCTGGTTTGGCGCGCCGTGCTGGGACACTCCTTTAGCCGTTGCGCTATTTTTGTATTTCTTGTGTTTACACATCCGGCCTGCGGTGGAAACTGCAACAAATGCGGATCTCTGTGTCGCTGTTACCAAAAAGAAACCAAAACAACAACTGTTTAATATATTAGGCCCACTCCGCCAGCCGCTGGAGCTGTACACAAGTTATTTTAAGGACTGTTTTTTAAAAAAGATTAAAAATAGCACTTAAGGCAGGCTTATACACCGGTGCATACAGCTGTTCTGGTTGGAGAACAAAGATGCTGGTTACCCTTGGTGGGGAGGGGAACGGTTACTCTGCGCTTTTAGAATGTTTGGGTTTGGCCGGGCTTGGTGACTCATGCCTGTAATTCCATCACTTTGGGAAGCCAAGGCGGGGGAATCACCTGAGGTAAGGAGTTCGAGACCAGCCTGGCCAACATGGTGAAACCCCGTCTCTACTAAAAATACAAAAATTAGCCGGGCGTGGTGGTGCAACCCTGTAGTCCCAGCTATTCAAGAGGCTGAAGCAGGAGAATCACGTGAACCCGGGAGGTGGAGGCTGCAGTGAGCTGAGATCGTGCCTCTGCACTCTAGCCTGGGCGGCAGAGCCAGACTCTCAAAAAAAAAAAAAGTTTGAGTTTGTTAATCTACACCTTTATTATCATTAAAATATATATTTATATATTATACACTCATTCTGACTCACCTACTTGCCCACAGAGGTGTGGCAAAAATGTTTTATTTTGTCTCATAAATTGAGGACATAAAGAATTGAGTCAGCTAAACCCAAAAACACAGCCATTGCAAAGAAGGAACGCCTTTCTTCACTGCCCAGTAAGCAATTAGCTCCTTGTGAACAAGGACCTTTTTTTTTTTTTTTTAAATAAAGTTACATCCTTCCCTTCTCCGGTTCCCCAGCCTACTAAAAAGGAATCTTCCTTAAACATAGTGGTCACGCAGTTGATTTAAGTTCATTGACAATATGATTAACTTAAAGGATTTAATATGTGTCTTTTAAAAAGATGTTGTTTTTACCAGATCAAATGCAGTGGGGTTTCTGATTGTGAGACTCAGTGCTTGACACTGGATGAAGGAAAATCTCAAGCAGTGAGAAAATGTAAGCATGAAAAGATAAGTGCTAGAAGTTGGTATTTGTTAAATTTCAAGTGAATGAATGGGTTTGTGCTATAAAATTTCAGAGACAATGAATTGCTTAGTGAATGCTGGGGGCAGTTCACAAAGGCCTCAGAGAAGAGCACACATATTTTGTGTCCTGAAAGATGGCGAGACTTAAATAAAAGCAGAGTATTCCGGGCATAAGAAAACGATCACAAAATGCAGAAAAGAAAATATACAGGAGGCTGAGGCAGGAGAATTGCCTGAACCCAGGAGGGGGAGGTTGCGGTGAGCTGAGATCGCGCCATTGCACTCCAGACTGGGTAACAAGAGCGAAACTCCGTCCCAAAAAAAAAAAAAAAAAAAAGAAAATATAAGATGACTGTTTGAGATACAATAAATAAGTTTGACTTGCATTAAAGTCAAGTACAAGTTTTAAGAACTTGGAGTCTCCTTAAATGCCAAGCAAGGAAATTTGGGCTTTGAACAGAGTAGACATTAGGAGTATAAAAACAGGTGATTTGCTTCAAAATGTATTTTAACAGGACCACCAAGAACTGATTCAAACTCAGAATAGTCAGGCCAGCTGCCTTCTGGACCAAATTTCCCCCTTCTCATTGGCCTTGTGCTTTGAAAAAATTATCTTGACAAAATTATGAGAGCAGAAACAAAAGGCAGAACTGATAAGATTAGACCTTTTCTAATGTAACCGGAAAAGAAGGGGCAGAAATGAAGGCAGAGGGGAGAAGAAGTGGGGGTGGGGGAGAGAGAGAAGCAAAAAGGATTCACTCACGAACCTGGTATTCAAAACTATGTGTACCAGCACTGCCACAGCATGATGATTCAGTATTGTTGGAAATAGATGCTTGGTCCCGCATAGAAAAATTAGCAAAGGATCCTAAAGCAACAAAAGTTTTACTTCCTGGACTGCAGAAAGGGTACCCTTGCCAGCTATTGTGCTGCAAGAATACAATGAACAAAGGAAAACACAAATGTATCCCTTAGGCATTTGGGGTCATCCTTACTGCTGTGTCTGACCCCGGTTGGCTAGAGCCAGACCTCTAAACTAAAACCCAATTGGCTAACTAACGACTTAAAACTTTTTTAAACAGGTAAAAGCAGTGGAGAACTGGGACATGCCTGTGAGCACGTCCAGCACAGATATCTTGGTTAAAGTACAAGGATATAGAATGTATTACGTGCCTGTAAGCATGGCATGGCTAACAGCTACATAGGATAGGGCTTAAAGTTATTAGCACACTTATTCTTTAACAAGAAAGGAAACTTTAAAAAGGAAGTTTTTTACTTCCCACAAGAAGTTGAAAATACTGTTGATCAAAAAAGTCTGAGGGGAATGAAAAGTTGAGTTTGTTTTAGGTGATGTGTCACAGAACAGAATTCAGTGGTAAAACCTTAGGCTTGGAACAGAGCTTGAAACAGCAAAAGAATTAGAGGAATGACCAGAAAGCCAAGGGCCATATAGTGATGTCTAAAAAACCAGAATCAAGTAATAATATTGAATACTTCAAAAGTCAAAGAAAATGCAGAATAAGAAAGCAAGCGATCTGGAAAGCAGCAAGTGAGATGGAATATGACGAGGTCGCTGAGAGCTGGAGGAGGCAGCAGACAGCAGGGAAATAGACCTCTGAAAAAAACTGAAGATCACACAGAAAGACAGCAGGAAAGCCAAATCTCTTCCCAAAGTGCCCATTATGATTCAGGACTGTAGTTATCCTGCGGGACCCACTCCGCAGGTCCTCATCCTCAAGAGGCCCACCAGCAACGTTATGGTCAGCAGCCCCAACTCTGCCAGCAGGCCTGCCCTTTCAGTCAAGTCCCTGGCAGGGCAGGAGGCCAAGACCAGGATCCTGGACAGTGTCGGGCGAGGAGGAGCAGGAGAAACCCATCTTCGACAGGCGTTCCTCTGATCTTCCCTTCGGGCCAACCAGGATCTCCCAACCCAAAGACAGCAGGCAGCCTAGTAATGTGATCAGACAACCTCTGGGTCCTGATGGGTCACAAGGCTTCAAACAGAGAAAATAAATGCTCGCAAGAAGAGATGGCGTGGCTGCCTCGTCAACACCTTCTGGTCGTCTGCCATGTCTCTGTCACCCAGGTTGCAGTGCAGTGGCATGATCTTGGCTCACTGCAGCTTCCACCTCCCAGGTTCACGCAATTCTCCAGCCTCAGCCTCCCGAATAACTGGGATTACAGGCTTGTGCCACCACACCCAGCTAATTTTTGTATTTTTAGCAGAGATGGGGTTTTTTCATATTGGCCAGGCTGGTCTCAAACTCCTGGCCTCAAGTGATCTGCCCACCTCAGCCTCCCAAAATGCTGGGATTATAGGCATGAGCCACCATACCTAGCCACAACTAATCTTTAAAACATGGTGAAAACTAAACATTTCACTCAGAAACCATGTTTAGAATGCTGAGTTTCACAATATTTATGAGACTATCTAATATTACAGAAGTAGTTCAAATTCCATATGTCTTTCCAAACATCTGGAACTGAATAGTGTTAAAGCAAAATCCAGGCCGGCTGCAGTGGTTCACGCCTGTAATCCCATGCTTTGGGAGGCTGAGACGGGCAGATCACTGAAGGTCAGGAATTTGGGACCAGCATGTGAAACCCTGTTCCTGCTAAAAATACAAAAATTAGCTGGGTGTGGTGGTGCAAGCCTGTAATATCATCTACTTGGGAGGCTGAGGCAGGAGAATCACTTGAACCTGGAAGTGGATGTTGCAGTGAGCTGTGATGGTGCCACTGCACTCGAGCCTGGGCGACAGAGCAAGACTCTGTCTTGGAAAATAAAAAAGTAAAAAATAAAAAGCAAAACCCCAGAAGCAAATAGTGAATATAAGGCTTTTTGTTTTTATTTTGAAAATTAATCAACTTTTGTTTAATTTGACTGAAACATGCAGAAACATTCACAGAGCAGTTAATAATTCAACAAAAGAAACCACCTCAAGTTCTTCTGCTATGGAAAAAAAAAAAAAGAAAAAAAGAAACCATTACCCAGAATTCACATTTTTTATTTCTGTATCAAATTTTTTTATTTTTTATTTTTTTGGAGACAGATTTTCACTCTGTCGCCCAGGCTGGCTGGAGTGCAGTGATGTGCTCACCACTCACTGCAACCTTACAACCTCCGCCTCCTGGGATCAAGCGATTCTCCTGCCTCAGCCTCTCGAGTAGTTGGGAGTACAGGCATGCACCACCACACCTGGCTAATTTTTTATTTTTAGTAGAGACAGGGTTTCACCATGTTGGCCAGGCTGTTCTTGAACGCCTAACCTCAGGTGACCCGCCTGCCTCAGCCTCTCAAAGTGTTGGGATTACAGATGTGAGCCACAGCACGCAGCCCAAACTTTTTTTTTTTTTAATTTTTTATTTATTTTTGAAACAGTCTTGCTCTGTCACTCAGGCTGGAGTGTAGTGAGCCAAGATTGCGCCACCTTGCCTGGCTAATTTTTAGAATTTTTAGTAGAGGTGGGATTTTACCAAGTTGGCCAGGATGCTCTGGAACTCCCAACCTCAAGCAATCCGTCTGCCTTTGCCTCCCAAAATGCTGGGATTACAGGTGTGAGCCACTATGCCTGGCCTAAATATATTTTTTAAATAAAACATTGCTTAGAAAATTTAAATTTCACTGTTATTCTTTATCCCATTCCCCTCCCTTCTCTTGATAATGATCAATTTGATGCCTGTCTACTGCATCTGTGTTTATATATTCACTGTAAATATATGAATGCATAAACAACCAGGACAGGAGGCTGCATACACCTCTAAAAGAACTTGCTAGGCAATAGAATAGTAAGCCTTATAGTAGATAGAATAGTAAGCCTTATAGTAAGTTTTAATATGTAACAAGGAAAGCTCTCCTTATCTTTTTCAGTATTGTTTTGGCCCTTCTTGGATGTTACTTTTAGAACCAATTTGTCTAAGTCACAAAAAGAATCCTCTTGGGATTTTGCTTTGCATT